TGGGCATTCTACTCAAACTGAGGAGTGGGCACCTGGGAGCCCCTGCTGTCTGAATGCTCAGAGAGGGAGCATCTCTGTATGTGTAGAGGGCCAGGGGCTCAGGCTGGCCTGCACTGGGCAGGGCCCCCAGAGGCAGACATGTGATGCTTTGAGCCTGCTCCAGCCTTCCCAGACCCCCTACCTAGCCTGGCTCAGCTACATCCTCCAGGGCCTTCCTGGCCAAGCTTCTGCTGGCCCCACCTGTCCACCTCTCGGGGCAAGTGGGCCATGCCTGGCCAGGTGGAGCTGGTGGTCCTCCACGCACAGCTGCAGCCTGGGGGCTGCTCATCAGGGCCCCCTGGCTCCTTGTAGACCACCCCCCCCAAGTAGGGGCTCAGCAGTCTTGAGTTTGGCAGGTTAACCCCTGGCGGGGCTGGGTGGTTCTGTGAGCAGGGCTAATGGGGACTCTCTGGCTGAGGTGTGTGGACAGTCTCACCTGACTCAGGTCACTGCTAGTGGCAGTGTGCGCTCATGTCGGCCCAAATGGTCCTCTTGTCCCCTCCCTGATGATCCAGAGGCGGGGGCACTGAGGGCTCGGGGCAGGGGCAGACCCGGGGCCGGGACCCCTGCCCTGGGCTCTGGGGGCCCCTTGTCCCTGAGAGACGGTGGGAGTCGGGCTCGGGCCTGTTGCCTGAACGGCATGGGCGTCAGGGCCTCTGAGCAGCATGGGAGCAGGGGTCCCTCGGGCCTGGGCCTGGTGGTGACCGCTGCGCCCGCCCTTGGCAGCTGGTACTTCAGCGGCATCAGCCGCGCCGGGGCCCAGCAGCTGCTCCTGTCCCCAGCCAATGCACCGGGCGCCTTCCTCATTCGGCCCAGTGAGAGCAGCCACGGGGACTACTCGCTATCCGGTACCGGACGGCCGCTCGCGCCTCTGTCCCCGCACTGGCCTTGGGGTGGGGGCTCCCCAGGCTTTGCTGGCCCCACGTCAGGCCTGGTCACCTCACTCGTCTGCTCGCCTGCTGGTCCGTCCACCTGCAGGCTCACTACCCGCCCCCCACCCCTCGTTCCCTCGCCTGCCCATCACCCACCACGGCTCGCTCCTCACTCACCCTCCCTTCCTTGGTCCACTCACTCTCGGACTCACCCACGTGCCAGGGGTCCACCGAGTGCCCGCCCTGGGCCCTCTCACTGCCCCTCTGGCTTGTAGCTGCCCACACTCCCTCCTTTCCCATGAGACCCAGGGAAGGTTGTAGTGCTTATCTGCTTCCCTGGCCCGGGTGCTGGGAGGGTCTGGGGCAGGCTGCAGCAAGACACGGCCCTCACCCGTGCCCACCCCCAGTCCGGGTGCAGGCCAAAGTTCGCCACTACCGCATCTCCACGGCAGCCGACGGTCTCTACCTGCAGAAGGGCCGGCTCTTCCCCAGCCTGGAGGAGCTCCTTGCCTACTACAAGGCCAACTGGAAGCTGATCCGGAACCCACTGCTGCAGCCCTGTGTGCCCCAGGTGGGCCAGTCCCCGGCCGTGCCTCCCGCCCAGCTGCCCAGCACACGTCCAGGGCTGTGAGCAAGGCAGCAGCCCAGGCCGGGCTCCCAGCATGGCTGGGGGCCCCGGAAAGGCCTGGGGGGCCCTGGGGGCCCCGGCTACACCTCCACACTCTGGCCATGGCCCTGCCTGGGGTTGGGTTTGCTCTCACGGGCGGGGCATCTCTTTCTCTGGGGACTTCTGGGGCTGGAGGTGCGGTGAGACCTGTAAGGTCCCCCCAGTCCCAGACCCAGCTCTGCAGAGGGGCCATGAGGGCTGGGCGCAAGCTTGGGGAGGCGTCTGGGGAGGGGTCGCACCTGCCGCAGGCGGAAGCTGGAGGAGGGGACGCTCGCCTGGGCCGTGGGCACAAGCGGTCCTGCCAGGGGCAGCAATCCAGTTCCTCTGGTTGCTAATGACAGCCTGGCTGGGGCCGTAATGACTATTTGTGGGTGGGTGTCCACCTCCAGCAAAGGTGCCTCTTAGGTCCAGAAGCGAGTGGGGCCAGGCTTCTGGAGGTCTGCACCCAGCTCCCCTGGCCTCCGCCCGGCCGAGGGGCTGCAGGCCTGGTGCTCCCGGAGACACTGCCCCCCCCTTCCAGAGAGCAGCAAGCAGAGGTACGGAGTGCCCCCCGCCCCCTCAGAAGCTCCCCCAGCAGGACGAGTGGGAGCGGCCTCGCTCCGAGTTTGCCCTGCGGAGGAAACTGGGTGAAGGCTACTTCGGGGAGGTGTGGGAAGGCCTGTGGCTTGGCTCCACACCAGTGGCAGTCAAGATCATTAAGTCAGGTGGGTGAGGCCTGCTGGCCCCTGCCCGCCCTGCCCTCTGACCCCTGGAGCCCTGGGGCAGTGCCAGGGTGGTGTGGGCAGGTCCTGGAGCCGTGCCCTCTCCTGCAGCCTACATGAAGCTCGCAGACCTCAGCAAGGAGATCCAGACACTCAAGAGCCTGAAGCATGAGCGTCTCATCCGGCTGCACGCTGTGTGCTCCGAGGGCCAGCCCGTGTACATCGTCACAGAGCTCATGCGCAAGGGCAACCTGCAGGCCTTCCTGGGGAGTGAGTGGCTGCCCCCCCCCGCCCAGCTGGTAGCTGTCCGGGTGACCCAGGCTTCCATGCACAGCTGTGACCTCCTGGCCCACTTCTCGGCACGGGCCTTTGATGTTGCACCAGGCTTGACCGTCTGAGGCCCAGAGGGTTGCTGTGGGCTCTGGCCAACAGTGGGTTCAGGCCCCGGGCCTGGACCAGTCCTGTGCCTTGTGGCGGGGGGCAGTCAGAGCCTCACGGTTCCAGGCTGAGCCGAGTGCAGTGGGGTTGGGCGCAACCGTGTCACCAGCCCCTGTGCACCCAGCCCTGTGCACCTCCCCTGGGTCTGGTCTCTCCTGGGGGCTTAGGCCGGGTTGCCCAGGAGCAGCCTCCCTGAGTGGTCACTGCACAGCACGGTGCCCCCTGCAGCCTGGGCCACCCTGTCTTTGGGGCAGGGACACTGAGGCACGGAGGGAAGTGACGGTGTAGACCCTGCCCCCCTGAGTGTCCGCCTTGCCCCACAGGCCCCGAGGGGCGGGCCCTGGGCCTGCCTCTCCTGCTGAGCTTTGCCTGCCAGGTGGCTGAGGGCATGAGCTACCTGGAGGACCGGCGCATCGTGCACCGCGACCTCGCGGCCAGGAATGTGCTCGTGGGCGATGACCTGGCATGCAAGGTGGCTGACTTTGGCCTGGCCCGGCTGCTCAAGGTCGGTTCGGGGCTGGGACCCCTGACCCCGCCGTGGCTGGGAGGGGAGGATGCCACTTTGTCCACCCACCACTGGTCTCCCCTCACCCAGGATGACATCTACTCCCCAAGCAGTGGCTCCAAGATTCCTGTCAAGTGGACGGCGCCCGAGGCAGCCAACTACCGCATCTACTCTCAGAAGTCGGACGTCTGGTCCTTCGGAGTTCTGCTCTATGAGGTCTTCACCTATGGCCAGTGTCCCTATGAAGGTGGGCTGCAAGGGAGCCTGAGGGAGGAGGCAAGGCCTCCACCAGGCCTGTGTGGTCTGAGGGAGGAGGCACACCCTGCCTGGGGGTCCCCGACCCTAGAAGGGGTGCCACGCCTCCAGGACTCCTGCTGGGCAGGGTCTGGCCAGGAGCTGGGGGGAGGTGTCTACCGTGACCCCCACGCAGAAGCGAGGCAGCCCTGCCCAGCCCCTCTCATTGCCCCTCTGCAGGACTGAGCAACCACGAGACCCTGCAGCAGGTCACACGAGGGTACCGGCTGCCGTGCCCAGCCTCCTGCCCGGTGGAGGTCTACACGCTCATGTTGGAGTGCTGGAAGGGCAGCCCCGAGGAGCGGCCGGCCTTCGTGACGCTGCAGAAGAAGCTGAGTGCGGCCCATAGGCGCCTCGCCCCTGCCCACACGTGACCTGGGGCGTTCGACACAGGGGCTGGGGCTACTCTTCCTTGCCTGGCGTGTCCCCCCAGGATGATACTGGCTGTCGACCCATGGAGGGGCGCCGGCGGCCTGGAACAGCCTCTGGTTGTGGGCTTTGCACCCTGACACACGTGCTGACCAGCACACACGTGTGTGCGGAAGACAGACACACGCAGACGCCCACTCAGGAGGTGCTGATGTCCCTGGCCAGGGAAGATCTCGGCATAGCAGTCAGGGTGGGACCTGTATGGGTTTTGGCCTCAGGGATTTGCTGGACAGAGAAGCCCTGAGCCTGGTCCATGGCCCCCTGCCCGCACCTGCGGCCCTGGGCAGCCCCGACTCCTCCCAGGTCCCAGAGGCAGAGACAGGGCTCCCTAGTTTTCTGCAAAGTCTCCCGTGGCCAATGCTGGGAAGGCAGACCCCGGGCACGGGGCCGATGCAGCACGGGCTGGGCACACCGGCTGCCTGTGTACAGACCCGTATGCTGAATAAATACGCGATGACTGGTTCAGACACATGCACAGACACGCGTCGCACATGGGCCTTGGCCCCCAGACCCAGATCCGGAGCTGGAGCTGATGGAGTGGCCCATCAGCTGGCTCACTGAAGCAGAGCTGGCCCCTGTGGCCCGGACCCCCGCCCCAGGGGACCCTGTTCCTACAGGAAGCATGACCTCTGCAGGCTGCAGGGGTGAACAGCCCACTCCGTGTCCCTGGGGCAGCGACGGAAGTGAGGGAGGGAAGGGCTGGGTGGAGCCATGGGCAGGTCAGGCTGCGTGGCCATTCCTGGGGGTGGGAGACTCTCGGGGTCCTTCTCTGGGGCGGGGGCCATTGTCAGGGAGGCAGAGTCTGTCTCAGTGGTTCAGGGTCCTGGGTGCTGGCCCAGCTGTGCAGGGTCAGGCAGGGGTGGGGCCGGATGCCACGGTGTTCCGGCAACTGGGTCACAACCAGCTCTCTGGGGAGAAGGAAGCAGCCTGCTCCCTCCAGGGCTGATTTCAAGCCGCTGTTGGCATCACTGAATGAGGAGCCGGGTGGGACAAGCTGGTTCTCCAGTCGCCACGAGATGGACCAGAGGGCCAAGGGACCAGGCGGGTGTGGTCTGTGTTCAGGGTCCTCATCCCCCACCCTCCAGAAGGCTTGTGGGACGGAAGGGCAGAGGCATGCAAAGCTGCCCTCTGTTCCTTGTCCCCTGGTGGGAACAGTCCACTATGCACAGTCTAGGGTCAGCTCCGCCCCTGCTGAGGCCCATTATCTCCTCCCCATGGACCACAGGCCCTGCCCACGGGCTGGTGCAGGGGGTACCCGGGAGCCCACACTCGGCATAGAGGCTGTGCAGGGCTGGAGTGGTGGGGGGCTTCCTGGAGGAGAGGGTGCTGAGGTCACTGCGGGCAAGGGCAGCACAGAGGGAGGAGGTAGGCATGAGCCACCCAGATCAGCCTGGGTGTGGAGCAGGGCTGAGCTGGGAGAGGGCAGGAGCCCCTGGGAGCCTTGGGTGCCAGGGTTGGGCCAGCCCCCACGTTGGGGGCTGGTGGGAGCGGGAGGGCTTGGCCTGCAGCCTGGATGCCTCCGTGCTGCCCTGGGAGGGCTGAGGGGCCTCCGGGTGAGAGACGGAACTGGACACTTTCTGACACAGCAGCAGGTGAGTGTGGTGCGGGGCTGGGCAGCCGGCGCTGAGGGGAGTGTGCTGGGCTTGGGACCAGAGACGGGTGCGCGTGGGGGTCACTGGTGCATTCTTAGCGTGTCTCATCAGCCACAAGCCAAACAGGTTTGCTGCTCTGGAGCCTCCAGGAGGGCGGGGGATTTTCTGTCTCAGTGCTGTTCTGCTTCCTGGTGTTGCCGGGCAGAACCCCGGATGTCTGCACGAGAGACCCACCAAGGCCCCTGGGCATGAGCTCATGGCTGGGCCCGAGGGCGGGGGCGCCAGGAGCATGCTGCCCCACCATGAGGGCTGGACACGCAGCAGGGGTGCCTTGGAGCCCCGGGCCCCCCGACCTAGCCCTGCCCTCTGCTCAGCTCCCTGGCCCCTTCCCCACCCTGGTCAGCGCTGAACGGGGCTGCCAGAATGATTGTGAACTTACTGAGTAATACACGTGCCTCTTGATCTCAAAATGGGGTGAGTCGTCCACGATCCCCCGCGCCCCACCGTCGTCCTCCTGGAGCTCTGTCCTGGGGCAGAGTCCCCACACCCTCTCAGACGTGGCGGCTGAGGGCCGATGGCACTCACCCTGGGCCCTCGTCACGCCCTGGCCCTCCCCTCCCCTCAGGGCTCTTCTTTCTCTGCTGCGGGCCCTTCCTAGCCTCCACCCCACGGCCTCCATGTGGGCTCGCTCTTTCTAGCACCTGCCCACCTTTTCCTGTCCCTTGGAGGCCAGCGTCTATGACGGCTGCAGCCACCGCGGCTCCCCTCAGCGGTTGGTGGTGGGGAGCGTGGCTGAGAGCCTCCAGGGTAGGGAGGGGAGGGCAGCGGCCACCTGGGCCTCCAGCAGCAACTCTGTGAGAGCTCACTGTGCCCCTGGCCCGGCTCCGTCCCCGAGGCCCCTGCGGGGTGGGCAGGGGTGACTTGCCCACAGGCCTCCGTTCCTCCTCTCCCCCTCCCACCTGGGTTCCACTCCCTCCGGAGCCCCCACCGCTGAACTGGGCCCAGGAAGGCCCTGTGTCTAACCAGTTACTCAGTCCTCCCCTCGTCCACGTGGTGGGCACACGCCCCGGAGCAGGCGGGCAAGAGCGGTACCCAGACTGACCTGGCCTCAGTGGGCAGGAGGGCAGGTGGAGCTGCTGGGCCGTCAGGGTGGAGCCCTGGGTGTTTGGGCAGCTCAGGGAGAGGCCACCCTGGTGGGCGCATGTGCGGCTGGCCTGGCCGCCTCATCACGGGGAAGCGGGCCGGCTCCTCGGGGGGGTGGAGATGGCCTGTCAGGGTTGGCCCCACCCACCCGCTGCTCCCAGCCACGGGTGGTGCTGCAGCCTAGTGACAGGTGGTGAGGCCAGGAGGCCAGGCCTGCCGCTGCACTTGCCATGGTATCCCGGGGCCAGGCTCACCCGGGGCCGCCAGTACGTGGGCATCCGGGACTTCGAGGCCTGGACGGTTGAGGAGCTGAGCTGCTGGGCAGGGGATCTGTTCCACGTGGCCAGGAAGGAGGAGGAGGGGTGGTGGGCCACGTTGCTGGATGTGGCAGGGCCCTGGTCGAGGGCTATGTGCCCCACAACCACCTGGCCGAGAAGGAGACGGTAGAGTCTGAGCCGTGAGTGTCCCGATGGCCCTCATGGGTCACCCCAAGGTGCCCCCATTCCCTGCTCCCTGAGGCCCCTCAAGAGCTCAGGGCAGGGCAGTCCTCGGGACAGTTCTGTGGCTGGGCTCTGGGAAGGGGCGGGGTGCTGGGCCAGCCTCCTGGAGGCCAGTGAGGATAGGGGACATGTCACTCCGCCTCTCGGTGCCCCCTAGTTGGGGCGGAACCCCACCATCCTGGTCCCAGGAGACCTGACTAGGCTTTCGCGGTGGGACATCTGTGGGTACGTGGATCCTCCCGTGGACTCCCCCATGGTCACTTTGTGGTGCCAGGACCCAGAGAGGACAGAAGGGTCCACAATGGGCTTCTGGGTGGCCAGCCAACAGGGACGGGGTCTGCGTAGGAGTCCAAGGCAGGGACTGGGCCTTTTGGGGAGCAAAGCTTCACTCACCTTCCAAACAGCCGAAACCAGATGCATGACCTAGTTAGAGAGAGCAGGAAGGTCATTGCGACATGCCTGTCTGGGCGTGGGCTGCAGGCTGCCCCGTCACTGGTAAGGAAGATCCTGGAGGTGGTGGTTGGTCCCAAGGGGCTGCCCAGGAAGCTTGGACCACAAGGGCCCGCCTGGCGTGGGCGTGTGCACAGCCACCTGAGCTCACTCCTCTGAGCTCTGGGCCGGGAGGGTCCCGCAGGGAGACACTCCACTGCCCGCCTATGGTCCGGCGATCCTGAACGCTGGAGGAGTAGCACAGTGAACGCGTGCAGGGAGACACGCAGTACATTCATAGACAGCACAGTCCGAGGACAGGGAAGTGCAGAGCTGGGCACAGCGGGTGCAAAGGCCTTAAGGTCCTGAGAACCTAGTGCATTTGGAAAAGCAGGAAGGAGGCAGGGTGCTTGGAGTGGTGAGCAAATGAGATTCGAGATGTGCTAAATTGGTCAGGGTGGGGCCACCCTCATGGGGCTCTGTGGGGGGGAGGGGGCTTCTGTTCCAGTGATGCCTGAAGGTCTAGGGACTAAGGGCAGCGGCAGCAGAAGTCACCTGGGGATTTGGCAGCCCCACCCTGCAGTCCGGGCTTGTCCGTGCCCTGGTCTGGTGTGCGTGAGCATGTGTGCATGTGGGTCTGTGTGTGAGCGTGCACGTGCAGAGCCTGCCGAACCGCAGGTCCCATGGTCCCAGAGCAGAGCATCTGTGGCCCGGGTCGCAGAACAATGTGGTCCCACTCCTGGGATAGGTGGTGTGTCTCTGGGACAGGAGCGGCTCTGACTCTACAGACAGGGGACACTCTGGGCAGGGTGGTGGCAGGTGCCTGTACCCCTTCTGGGTCACTAAGGCTTTTCCTGGTGTCCAGACTGGCTATTTGGGACATTTGGGGTCTCTGATGGGCAGCTAAGTGGTCTCTGGCCAGGGACAGTTTCGGAGAGCAGCTGTGGGTCGGGCGAGGGGGGCTGGGATTCAGGGTGGGCAGGTGGGAGGACGTGGGGTCAGAGGGCATGGGTTGAAGGTCGGCACAGGCTCAGGACCGCCCCCGCCCGTCAGGTGGTTCTTTGGGCGCACCTCGCGCTCGGAAGCTCTGCATCGGCTGCAGGCCGAGGGCGTCGAGCCAGGGGCCTTCCTGGTCAGGGTCAGTGAGAAGCTGGGCACTGCGTTCTCGCAGGTACGGCCTCCCACACCTTCTCCCCCGTCTGTGGCCCCACCTGCACTTGGCCTCAGGGCTCCTTGCCCCTGGCCTGTTCTCCTGGCCCATCCCCCTCCGTCCATCTGCCACAACCCGGCCCAGCCTCCCCTCCAGTGGGTGGCTTGTCCCTGGGGTCCCGCTGGGTCTGGGTTTTCTTCGCCGGGAGACGGGCCATGGGGCGGGATGCCTGGCCCGCGAGGGCCCCTCTGAGGGGAGGGGCTGGGACTGCATGCCCACGTCCACTGGGCTCTCCCCCCACTCCTGAAGTGTGGGACGGGCAGGCCGTGAGGCATCACAGGATCTGGCGGCGCGATGGCCGGCTGCACCTCAGCGAGGCTGCATCCTTCCCCGGCCTGGCTGAGCTCCTGGAGCACCACAAAGCCCAGAGCCTGCCCCACGACCTGCGGCTGACCGTGCCCTGCTGGAAGGTAAGGCCGCCTGCACCCTGCTGCCCCTGCTCATCCTCCGCCCACCTGTGGCCCCCCTCTCCTCCACAGGGTGGGTGTGGGTCCTGACACGCTTGCTGGCTGGAGGGGGCTCGGGGACACCTGGCCCCAGGGACTCTCGCTGTCTCGGACGCCATGGTCCTACAGACCTGGGCATGGGAGCAGGCAGGTGGGGTGGGATGTGCCTTCCTTTGCCAGGTCGCTCTCGCCCCTGGGCCAGGGAGAGGTCAGCTATGCTCCTGCCATATCCTGCGTCCCTTGGGCCCAAAGTTTTGTCCGAGTGGCACTCAGCCAACATCACAGCATCCCCAACGTCACTGAGCCTCACGTAGCCAAAATCCTGCAGCAGGCAGTGAGGGTGTTTGCAGGATACTGCAGAGGACAGCCGTGGTGGGGGGCAGCTCCTGGGAAAGCCCGGTCGCATGCTGGACCCTGGGACCTCACCAAGAAAAACATTGCTCTACATTTGAGGATAGAGTAGGGGCTCCCCGCCCTGGAGTCAGAGGAGACAGCACCCCTGCCCTGTGCCCCTGCCTGTCCCTCCCAACAGGACCCCAAGCCCCTGCCCCACTGTGAAAACTGGGAGAGACCGCGGGAGTTCACGCTCTGCAGGAAGCTGGGGTCCGGGTACTTTGGGGAGGTCTTCGAAGGCCTCTGGAAAGACCGCGTCTGAGTGGCTATTAAGGTGATTGCTCAAGGTGAGTGGGCCCCAGGCCAGGGGCCCAACAGGGACTCCTGGCCTCGCTTGCGGGGTGGGAGTCCCATTTGCTACATGCTGGCCCAGTATGCACCGCGTGCAGCGTCTGCAACAGCATCCAGAGGGCATTTTCCTTTCAATGTCTGTTTTCAGCTAAATGCATTTATTTAAAAAGGGAATTTTAAATTTTCAATGTAAATGGAAAGCCATTAAAATACATAGATCACTAGAAATTTTTAAAGATTCATCTAAAATTTCCTTTAAACCCACTAGGGGTTTGGACCCCCCACTCCAGGAATCGGGGGCTCACGGGAACACACTTGGGGAATGTTCTGCTTCGCTTCGGGTGTGGGCAGGCGTCGGCAATCGTGGTGCTTGGTGTGCGGCAAGAGCAGGTGGTGGGCACAGCATCCCCTTCCCGTGGCCTGTGGCCCTGGTGCTGTGGCATCCCATGGGGGGGCGCCCACACAGCCTAAGCAGCTGCTGCGTGCAGGTGGGTGGGGGCAGCCAGGGCTGGGGCTGCACCCACCGAGGCCGCCTGCCCCCGCAGATGACCTCCTGCACCAGCACACGTTCCAGTCGGAGATCCACGCCATGAAGAAGCCGCACCTGGTGTACATCGTCACAGAACTTGTGCCCAGGGGGAGCCTGCGGGACCTGCTATGGGGTGAGCCGGCCACGGGCCGCACTCGGGGTTCCTTGCCCGGGGATCCAACTGACCCGTGCTTGCTGAGGGCGTGGGAAACTTGCACAAAGAAAGAGAAAACCCACGTCGCCCCCCTACCAGGCACAGGCCACCAGGGAGCTTTGACGTCTTTGTCGGCCGGGCCCTGCTTGAGAAAGGATTTAAAATATCTTGTGGTAAATGCACCATCTGCTCATTGTAGGAACTGGAGAAAACACAGAGAAGTACAAACAAGGCGAGAAAGGCTGTAATTCCTACATGCAGTTAACTGAGGCCATTTTATTCCAATGCCAGGCGAGGCCCGCCCACCCCCCAGCTTCCGGAACATGCAGGTCTGGCTCGACTTTTCTCTCTGGAAGGTGCTGGCTCTTCTTGCGGTATCTGGATGTGCATGAACACTTCCACCCGCGTGCACACCCCCTCAACACACACGATGGGTCTCACGGACTCACAGACCCCATCACCTGTCACAGCGCCTATTATTTCATTTAACACCCAAACCAAACACAATCGCTGCTAGCTAGCCGAGGTGCCACGGCGCACGGACACAGCCCCAAGTCACGGGGCTCAAGTGGCACCGAGTGGGTGCTGCAGGAATGTGACATCCAGGGCGCATGTGCCCTGGCAGATTTTTACATGGCGACGCTGATCACCAAACATAGCCTTTTTCACAAGTCTGATCACTGCGGCCAGGTCCCCTCATCAGAGGTTCTTCGGGATGGCGCGCCAGAGCAGACCACGTCCACGAGCTGTGCCCATTCAGCCATTTACCTGGTGTTGAACCTCTCTGAGGTTTTCGACTGTGTAGACATCCCTCTCGCTTTAGTGCAGATTCCCGGAAAGGATATTGGGGGCAAAGGGTACGAGCGAGCTGTGCTTCGGCTCAAACCCATAACCGCCTCCCAGAAGGGCTGTGACGGTCCCCCTGGGCCAAGGTGAGGCAGCTGCCCCATCCCGGCCCGGTCCCCAAGCCCGGCGGGACGCAGAGCCCCTCTGACTGCCGCTCTCCGGCCCCGCAGACTCTGAGACATCCCTGCCCGTCTCGGAGCTGGTAGACTTTGCTCACAGGTGGCTGAGGGCATGTGCTACTTGCAGTCACAGAATTACATCCACCGGGACCTGGCTGCCAGGAACATCCTTGTGGGGGCCAACATCTGCGAAGTGGGGGACTAGCCAGGCTCATCAAGGTAGGGCCTGGGGCATGAGGGGTTGCAGGGCATCCTCTGCGCCTGGCGCGGTGGTTCCGGGGGCTTGCGCACCCCTCAGCCTTGCCCTCAGCCTTGGGGAGGCTGGTTGAGCAGGGACAGGAAGCTGGAGGGCAAGATGCAGGACTGTGGAGCCACACCCTGGTTGGGAATGGAGGCTTCCCAGAGGGCTCGGAGGCTGGAGGGGGGGTGTCAGCACTTGCAATGGCTGCAGGAGGAAAGGGAGGCTGCGTGGGGGCTGGGGGGGGGGAGGAGAGTGCACCTGTGCTCGCTCATTCATGGCGGCTTGCCTTGGGTGTGCAGTGAGGGCAGAGGCCGGGAGTGCTTTGTGAGCTCAGGGCAAACATCCCCCCCCACACAGGAGACAGAGTGGACGGAACGGTGTCCTGAGCCCCCTGCACCCATCGGCCCCTACCAGCCCCCCAGCCTCCTTCCACGCAGTTAGACCTGAGTCCCCACGCGCCCACTTCAGGATCTCTACAAGGACCCCAAAGAAAAACAGCCACAATCACACTTTTGATACTTAACAGGGACTCCTTACAATTATCACATGCCCCCACGTACAGAGCTGTTTCCAAGTTCCTGAAAGCCATGACGTCATTAGTCTGCTCCTGGAGCGGACCCGGGTCACAACGGCTCGACTGCTTCTTCCGGCTGTTCTCACCCTCTGGGGCTGGCGCCCTCCGCTCGGGCGCTGTGGGGCACTGAAGGCCGAGTCCAGGGCCCTTCGCCCCCGGGCGGCTGTCCTGATGCTGCAGTTCCTTCCTCACCATAAGCTGGATGCTTCTAGAGAGGCATTTTCCTCATCCACTCGGTGACCAGCTGCGGGGCAGGCCAGGCGGGAAGGCAGGCTAAGCATGACTCTTCCAGCCCTTCAGAGCGTGTCCAGGGGGAGCTGGGCAGCTCTGTGAGCCTGTGGTGTGAACACGCCTGCACAGGCTGCTCTGCGGCAGTCACACCGTGCACATGCTCACGCTGGCCCACTTGTGTGGTTTTGACACCGCCGGGCAGCAGGCCTCGCTTACCCTGGCCCTGACCTGCCAGCTCAGCCCACCTGCGCCCCCCCCTCCCCCCCGCCAATCGGAGGGAAAGCAGCACCTCCCTCTAGTGGCGGTCGTCAGTGCCCGGCTGCACTGGCCCATGAGAACCCCATCCCCCTGTCCGCGCGGCTGGGGTGGGAGGGGTGAGGGCAGCCGCTGAGGCCCAGCCCACACGTGTCCGCTTGCAGGAGGACATCTACCTTTCCCACGACCACAACATCCCCTACAAGTGGGCCGCCTCCGAGGCCCTCTTCCGAGGGCTTTACTCCCATCAAATCTGACATCTGGTCCTTCGGGATTCTTCTCCATGAGATTTTCAGCAGGGGCCAGATGCTCTATCCAGGTACTGGGCCCCTGACAGCGTCCCCAGTGGCGGGCTGCGCAGGAGGGTGCCGTGACCTGGACTTGGCACTTGCACCAGCCAGCCTCCCGGGGGCAGCCCTCCAGGGGCGTCAGGAGCGTGTGTAGGGGTGAGCCAGGCAGGAGCTCGGCCCAGGGCTTCCTGGGAGAGTGGTAGATGGCAGTGTGGCTTCCCAGGGGCGAGGGGAGGCTAGATGGGCGCCAGCCTTCAGCCCCTGCAGCTCCTCTGGCCGCCCCACCACAGGCATGTCTAACCACGAGGCCTTCCTGAGGGTGAACTCAGGCTACCGCATGCCCTACCCCCCGGAGTGCCCACCCGCCGCACACAGGCTCTGCTTCAAAGGCGTGCAGAAGCTCTCCAGTATCAGCAGGTACGAGAACCCCCCCTGAGTGCGACACCCTCTCCGTAGTGGCCACGGAGGCCACCAGGCCAGGTCCTGTGAAGATGGGTCTGGGTGCCGTCCTGGACCTCCCAACAGGACGGGCAGACTGAAGGTGCGGACAGCTCCCAGAACTGGGCCGGACACCTGGGGGACAGCGCTTGTCCAGCCGTGGGCCAGCCCTGTCCTGGGGCAGGGGAGGCATGCCCTCTGCAGTCTGGGGGCGGGGGCTGCCCAACCTTCTGTCTGCTCCTTCTAAGACACCAGCTCCTGCAAAGTGTCAGGGCCCGCCACAGCCAACTCCAACTCTGGAACCCTCCAGGAGCCTGGCTACCCTCCCTTCTAAAGGGAGATCCCTGCTGCTGGTCCTGACCCAAAGCCCACCAGCTCAATCAGGACCAGGGCTCAGCTTCCCCAGGTGGTACACGGGAGGGACCCGGGCTTTGGCTGGGCTCACCCTATGCCACCTGGCCTGTGCCTGTCTCCTGACTTGGGGGGAACGTGGACTTCCCAGGACTCTGTGAAGACGGGGGTGGGGCACTGCCCTCTCCAGCCGGGGGCTAGGTACCATCCCGTCTTCCTGCCACGGCCGTCCGCAGCTGCCCACAGGAGCCCTGAGGGACTCATCTGGACAGTGGGTAGTGCACAGGCTGTCCTCTGGGGCACCTCCCCCCACTCTGGGTCCATCTGGAGGTGGGAAGGGCCTTCTGCCTGGACACAACCGAGGCGCACAGGATGGTGGCCGCAACCCTTGGGGGCCACAGGCTGGCGAGGCCTTGGATTGGACCTGTGCAGCTATTTACAGCACACCACAGGGGGAAGGGCAGGAGCTGAGACCGGGCTCCCCTAACCTCACACTAAGCCCCCATCCACCTCTCACCAAGCTGCCCTCCTGACCAGTGGACCTGAGCCAACCCCTGCTGACCAGTAAGAGTGCGTGGGCACAACCAGCCCCCAGTCACGCCTGCCCCAAGAGGCCGGTAAAGGGTGGCACAGCCACACCCTCCCCAGGTCCCTGGTTGGATGTGTCCAAAGCCGGGTTACCTGGGGTGAGAAGGCCCCACTGGAACGCCCCCATACCCCTTACCTCTCAAATATTAGTAATTAATTTTGGGTCCCCGTGCCCAGAATGTATCCTACAACGGGCTACAAGAGGAAACACCATTCTAGGAAGGCACCTGGAGGGAGCGTGGCCCAGAGAGCTGCTCCACACCAGCTGGGACAGCCTTCGCCTGTTCCCTCCTTGCCCTACCTGGTGTGGTCAAAACGGGTGGCCGGGGGCGGGGGGCGACTCCTGAACCCACAGGCAGAGGCCCAGCTTACCCCAGCGGCCAGGGGCCAAGTCTGAGGACTCGAACCTCAGTGGCTGCCCGGGAGACTTCTTGTCCAACTCCGGAACTGCCTGCTCTCCCAGGCTCCCCAAAACAGCAAGGCACCCTACCCCTTCTCAGGTGCCAAGGCCCCATACTCACTAAAGTTGTCACCCGTGTGAACCTGGGCCAGACCTGGGAGGTGGCTCCCCAGCGAGGGGCCCCAGGAAGGCCCAGGGGGCAAGGTCAACTCCCCGCCCCCGCCAAGAAATAGGTTGAGAAGGATTTGGTGACTTTGACCACAGGCCCGGGGGCACGCAGCTCACATACACCATCGGGGCCACGGGCTGCTTGGAGTTTATTTTCCACTTGGTGCAAGGCACATGGTTCCAGGGTGTGAGGAAGGCTTTCATGTGGCCTGGAGAGTAGAGAGTGGGATCCTCTCAACTTCCTTTTGGGTATTTTGCTGTTTTGATATAAAAGAACCCAATTGTTTCTGCTTGCGGCAGCCTGCCTAGTCTATGGGGAAGGGAGAGAACGGGAGGGGAGGGGCTCTGATGAGCCTAGCGCTTCCTGAAGCCTGGCGGTGGCCACTCAGGATGGCGGCCCTGTGTTGGCTTTGCCAGGCTGGCCACCAGGCTGCTTCCTCATGGCTTCCAGAGCCAAGTCGCAGGTGATCGTGCCGGGGGAGGCCTGGGGAGATTCCGAGCTGGGGGAGAGCTTGTGGTCAGAGGTGGCTTCCACCTGCCCCCATGTCCCATGCTGGCCCCCAGGAATGTGTCCTCACCGTTCTGGAGACTCCAACACTGTAGCCATGAACGGGAGAGCAGACTTCCCGAAGAAGAAGCTTGCCCACCAGTGACCCGGGTCGGCCTTGGGGAGACCTGAGAGGAACAAAGTGGGGTCGTGGTGCTGCTGCCCACTCCTGGGGGGATGCCCCGATGGTGCCCCGCACCCAAGGGGAGTGGACCTGCACTCACCCGGGTGGTGAGGGATGGCTTCCCCAGCATACTCCGCACTTCCGCAGGAGCTGTTACTGGAAGTGGAGCCCAGGCGGCCTGGAGAAGAGAAGCCTGGTCAGCTCCGCAGGGCACCTGCCCTGTCCACCGGGCCAAATGCTGGCTAGGCTGGCAGCACACAGGCAGAGCCACGGGTCCTTGCAGCCCTCCCCCCTCCCAGAGAAGAAGACCTGTAGGGCAGAGGGCGAGGGGCTTACTCACGCCGGTAATAGTCGTGGGTGGCCACGAGCGAGCCGCTGGAGGGGATGGCTGCCATGCTGTCGCTTGCGGGCTGGTGGAAACCTGTGCACGCAGGGGTTGGGGTGCCCCTCCGGTCACCCGCCGCCGCTCGCGAAGGGCGTTCCCCACTCGGGCTGACCCGCCCCCATCCAGACGCCGGGGTCAGGGCCGCCGGGTAGATTTACCCGAGCGGGGGTGGAGTCCCGGCCGGCTGGGGCGGTCTCGCAGGTCGCGGGCGGCGCGAACCGGCCCGAACCGGCCGCGCGGGCGCAACAAAGGCGCTTTGTGCGCCGGGCCGCGGACCTGGGGCTCCGGGAACCCGCCGGTCCCGCCCGCCCCCACCCCGCGCCCCCGGCCGTCCGGCCTTCCGTCCGCCAGTCGGTCAGTCCCTCCAAGCCGCGGCGCACGCGGCCGCGTCTCGCCGCCCCCTCGGGACCCTCGACTCGACTCCCGCGCCGCCCCGGTCCTCACCTCGGCGACGACCCCTCGCGGGCCTCGGCGCGCGATCACACGTGGCGGGGACGGGGACGCTAGGCCACGGAGCCCATTTGTAGAAGAGGCCGCCGAAGGCCACTCGGCGACCGAAGCGCGCGCGGGGTGCGCACGCGCGGACGCGCCCGCTTGGATTCCACCCCCGGCCCGGCCCCGTCCCCCCCGCCCCAGCCCCGTCCCCCCCGCCCCAGCCCGGCCCCGCCCAGCTCGTGCAAGACCGGCCCCCCGCCTCCCGCCTCCGCGAGGCCCCGCCCCCGACTGGTTCTCGGAGGCCGGCCCTGGTGGAAGGCCAGCCCCACGGTGTCGTCCAATCTGGGGCGGCCTGGCCCTCCTACGTCCTGGAGCAGGGCCTGTTGGCCACCTCCCCTGCCCTAAAGGAAGCCTCTCTCCCGTCCCGGAGCAAGGCTTGTTCACCTTTCCGGGACCCTAGGTGGTCTGCCCGGTATCCACCTCTCCAGCCGTTTGGAGGCGGTGAGAGCCCTGGACGGTGCTGGACGGCGGCCCGGCAGGTCCAGCCTCTGCAGTGTTTCTCTCCTCTGGCCTCTTCTACTGGGGATGGAGCCTGTCCCACTCTCATCCAGGACAGATTGGGGCCTCTGCTCTGCGGGCCCCCTGCAGCATCCCCTCCTGGCAGCTGTGGGCACTGAGTTGTAACCAGAAGCTGCTGTGTGCATGGAGCATGGAGCACTGCAGCCCTTCTGGGCTTCAAAGAGGTGTCCCCCACGGTTCTGGTGGCTCTGGAACCCACACCCTAGCCTCCAGCTTCGGCCTCCCTGCAGCCAGCTGCCTGCTGGCCCAGGTTACAGGAGAGGGTGGGAGTGGAAGGGCAGCAGGGGCAGAGAGGGAGGCTTATTGGAGCGGGGGGAGGTCAAGAGCTGTTATTTGGGGTGTCTCCAGAAGCTGGAAACAGAAGCCCCCTGTTTGGGGCAACCCCAGAATGTTCCCCTGAAGAGTCTGGGGCCTTGCCACACCTTGGTTTGCCAATCAGGAGGACAGCTTCCTTCCCTGTTGTGGAAATCAGCCCTCACCCCTTCTCACAGGCCCCAAGCCCCAGCCTCCCTCTTTGTTCTGTAGGCCCTGGCTGGGTGGTCTCTTCCCTGATGATTGGGAGGGTCTTGAGAAGTCTGGGGGGGTTCCAGGGAGAAACCACGTGGAAGATCTCATAACCTTTTCTGCCAGGCCTTCCCCATCTTCAAACCCCCTCAAGCACCCCTCCAGGATTCCTGGACCTCAGCCCAACGTCGCACGTAGCAGACAGGAAGTCAAGGCTCAGGAGGGGAGGGCCTGGCAGCCCCTGGACAGGACCCTTTGTCTGGCTGGGTCGGGGTCAGGGCTGTCAGACTTTCTGACCATGACCTGGCTTGGGCAGCAGGGTGGCCTAGGGCACCCTCAGGGGAGCTGCAGGCGAGGTCATGCTCACTCCTCCACCTCCTTCATCCCTCCCCCAGGGCCAGTCCTCTGTTCCAGGGGCTCTCACGCAGGGTCAGCAGGATCGCACACATGAGGGGGACAACATGGCTGCGCAGGAGGGGCGCATGTACCTGGCAGCTCACTCACATTCTGCTGCATCCACAAAGCCTGCTTCACGGCTGGTGACCTTCCCCTCTCATTGACCCTCAGCGTCTCCAGGCTGGCTTCCTGTCCCCCTTCAGGGGGCTAGTTCTGGATCATAAGTTAGGCGTGACTTTAGTGCAAATCAAATTTAATTCTTAAGGGACATTTGCCACCCCCCACCTCACCCTCGCACTCACCAAACCCAGAGTCTGGTAGTGGGTCAAATGCACCAAAGCCACACCGTTGGGTTACTGGCTCTCTGGGGCCCATGCTGGGGTGCTGCCTTCAGCTCTGCTCAGGCCGCGTGGAGCTGCCTGCTGTGTGGAAGCAGCCTCTCTCCTCTGGTCTCAGCTCTGGAGCCAGGCCCTGACCACATGCTAGCCTGGAGTCTGTGGCAGAGTGCCCCTGCCTCAGCAGGCCAGCACGCACCCACCTAACTTGCCGGGTGCCTGTGTCTCTGCCTGACTCACCCTCCCCTAAGAAACATGACTGTGTGCTGGCAGCCTCTGGGCCCCATCCTGAGCTAGGGGCAGCTCCTGGTGGGCTTAAAGCATGATTGGATTTGGCATTTTGGTTCCCAAAGCTGGCTGTATGCTGGGTGCTGTGGGGGAAACTGAGGCCAACAGCACCCGCCTTCACTGCCCAGTAAGGACACAAGAGCCAGGCAGGGATGCTGGGGACGAGTGTCTGAGTGAGATGTGGGGAGGTGGCTCTTGGGCCCCCAAGAACACAGGGCTGGCCCTAAGTCAGACCTTGCACTGTTCTGGTGCTCAGTACGTGGATCTGTTGAGTATGTACTATGAGCAAATGGCTCAGCCAGACAGGCCAGAGCTCCTTGCAGTGGAAGGGCCAGTCCAGAGGGCAAGGGGACCCCACTTGGTGAGGCAGGACAGCAGGGGTCTGAGGAAGGTGGAGATGGGGGAGGGACCAGCAGGGAAGCTGGTAGAGCCTGGGATGGGGAGGGGCAGTGGTAGGGCCTGAGACTGGGAAGGTAGCCAGGCCTGCTGGGGCCACTGACGGTCACTGGGAAGGCAGATTGCTCAGTACAGTCGGTACCAGGAGGAACGTTCTGATAAGACCCAGGCTTGTCCCTCTCTGAAGGACCCTCAGCCATAGGGCTCTGCCCCTTCCCTAGACTCCCTTGTCCCCGTGGTCCGTGGCTGAGTGTGTGGGTGCCTCGTAATGTGTCTCACTCATGCCTCCAACAGGACTGTGGTTTCAGGGCCCGAAGCTTGAGAGCCCAGCTGGAGGGGCCTGCCCAGGACCTTGGACAGCTCACAGGGCCAGGAAGTGGGTTTAGGGCTTGGGGCCAGGCCACAGTCTTGGAGGCAATGAGGTGCCTCTTCTGAACCCGGGCATGGTGCTTACTCACAAGGGGCACAGCTTGGGGGGGCAGGGAGGGCTGATGTCATCCCTGGGGGCCTGAGAACTCCCTGGGGGTGGGGAGAGTAGCAGGGGGAGCAGGAGGTCAGCCAGGACCCCTGGGGCAGACCCATCCCATGGGGTCTGAGCAGAGAGAGCTGGGACTTGGGGGCTGCCCAGAAGGATGGGGCCAGTTTAGGGCTCCCAGGGATTCTGCGGGAAGAGGCTGGGGGCTGGAGGCTGGTCTGGCCTTGCTGTCGGGCCTCCTGGCTGAGACCCATCCATCTGTTCATCTGGAGCTTATTGGAAGCCCACTGTGTGCCAGGCAGTGCAAGGCCTGTGTGTGTAGAGTGAGTGAGTGGACGCTCCGCCTGCCCCAGGCTCAGTCCCCAGAGGTTGAGAAGTTGCTATGGCAGCACCCAGAGCCCTGGCCCCTGGAGCCCTGGCACACTGGGCTCTAGGTGTGGGGGGTTGAAGCTCTGTCCGGTCTCCTGGGGGGGAGCAGTGGGCGAGATGTCCCAGTGGCTCCCCAGAGTGGGCACACCCTGCATGGTACTCCCTCCACGTGGCCTTGCAGCTTGGGCAGGCCTGCCCCGGGGGCCTCAAAGCTCCTCCTTGCCCTGGGCTCACAAATAGTGCTGGGCCCGCGGGAGAACTCTGCCATAGCAGCAGACTCAGGCCCCAGGCCTCTTGGGGGCTCCTTGGCCCGGGCGTAGGCCTGGGGCCCTGGGGGCAGAGGGTTCTGAGAGAAGTGGAGAGGGGCCTGGCCCTCTTCCTCCAGAACCCCATCCCGGGCAGAGCCGCCCCCGTCAGATGGGCAGAAGCTTTGGATGCTCAGAGCAGAGATCTGGAGGAACTCTTAGGCCGGGCCCCTCTCTAGTTGGGAGCTGTGACTTCCTGAGATTTTCTCCCTGTTGCACGATTGAGAGCCTCTCCCACAACCGCGTGGTAACGATCCACTCAGTGCTCTGCAATTCAATTTAATGGGATTCAGTTCCACTCACAGTGGCGCTCCAGCCCTTCTGCACCTGTTCAGGCCACAGGACACCCCCCAGGTGGGTGCAGACACGTGCTGGCTGTGGACACCGGGCAGAGCTCCCGAGCCCATCCCCAGGGCCGAGGGCCAGGCCAGCCATGCTGAGGGTCACCCTGTGCTAGGCCATGTCCAGCAGCCTGGGCAGGCAGGGCGCTTGGCCTCAACCTGGCCGTGGCCACCCCCCTTCTGGGGCCTCCCTCTTGTAGAAGTGTCACAGGCCAGGGCCTCGGGAGCAGACACTGGGAAGGAGACTGAGATGCAGGGTGCGTGTCCCGGGGGGAGCTGAGAGGGCAGGGGCAGCGGGGCCAGTGGGGAGCCTTGGATTGGGAAGGCACCATTAGGTGTGACCCACGTCAGGCTCAGTTGGCAGGGCCTCCCCCCTCCCCCACACCAAGCCAGAACTTCCCCCAGGGGAGGGAGTCCCAAGGCAAGGGGGCTCTGTGGCCAAGTCCAACCCTGAAGGAGCTGATAGTGAGGTGCTGACCACCCCCATCCGGGCAGCGAGGCCTTCCCTGGAGGAGTGCATCTCCTGTCTCTGCAGCTGGCTGGGCCAGCCTGACACAATCCACCATATCCCCCCCCTCACCAGCATCTTCAAGAACAGAAAATCGGAAAGGAGGTGTTTTTTTCTGCACAGTGTAAACATAAAAGCTGCATTGACTAAACTAAGAGGGTCGGGCATGCCAGTCCCTCCCCTGAGTGTCAGGGACCCAGGAAGGGGGGTCCATCCCCAGCCTGTGCGTGGACTTCATGGAATGGCCCCACGTGGGCTGTGCACCTGTCTGGTGTCCTCCGAAGCACCGAGGGCAGAGTCAGGGTTGTCCTCTTGCTGGAGGCCCCCAGGTATGGCTCCAACGCAGGGGGGACCTGGGCTGTGAGCCCTGGGCGGGGAGATTGGTCTCTCCCTGCTGTGAGGCCTGGGGGGGATTGGCCTCCGCCTGCTGTGAGCCCTGGGGGGGGTGGAATCAGCCTCTGCCTGGGGGGGATTGGCCTCCTCCTGCTCCTGGGGGCGGAATCAGCCTCCACCTGGGGGGGGGGTCGGCTTCCACCTGCTGTGAGCCTTGTGGGGGGAATCGGCCTCCACCTGGGGGGGATTGGCCTCCGCCTGCTGCTGGCTGCGGGACCTCACCAGCCAGCCACTGCCCTTTAGACTGGGCAGTAAGAACAGCCCTTCCCTTCCACTGTCTCTGAGGGGACGGTGGCCCCTGTGTGTGGAGGGTTGTCAGGGGCTCAGGGTGGGCAGGGCTGGGTTCTGTGTCGGGAAGCAGCCCCTGAGCCTCCAGCCACTGGGAAAATGGTGGCAGAAAGATCATCTGGTGGGCCAGACGCGTGCATGCTGCATCTGGGTGGGACGCCTCTGCTGGAGGCTGAGTGGCTGGACACAATGGCTGATGGTCACAGGCTCCCGCAGGGTGGCCCTGGAGTCGCTGGGATTGGGGCTTTACTCCCAATAACGTAGCAGCCATGTGACATCCTGGAGCCTCCACTCCCTTCTCGGGAGAATGAGAGCGGCGCCTTCTTCACAGCCGTGCTGGGAGGGGCAGGGCTTACAGTGGTCACCGGTGACCGGGCACTGTTGCTGTTGGGGGGCCTGGATTGTTACTCTGGCCGCAGGT